AACCGTGGCAAGACAGGCCGCAAAATGGGGCAAAACTCACTGAACCAGAAATTTGGGAGCTCAATTGTGGTTGTTAAGTTAAATACATTTTTCGTTTAGCTTCAAAGTTTGGATTTTAACACACCACTAACCCAAATGAGTCCCAGAACTGAAATATGCATTCCCCTCAATTGAACAGCTTTTTTTTTTCTTAAATGCCTTGATTTTCGCTATGAACACAAAGAGGCTTTTTTAAGGTTAGAATGATACCATACCTCCCAAGGTGCAGTTGTAGTTTTGGCTCCACTTGTAGTTTTGGCTCAAAGGCACCCAGCTGAACTTAGCCTGATGCTTCCTTGAGCGCGGAAATGTAATAAGGGATGCTTTATCCTTCTGTGTGTTTGCAGCTTGGTTGTTCGGAGTTACCACAAGCTCCCAGCAACAAACTCTGAGCAAGTCCTCTCCCGCAAGCGGACGTTTTCTCATTCTTTTAAGGAGGAAGGATTTTGCAAAAAACTTCGCGTACCTTTCTGGTGTGGACTTAAGTGGGATTATTTGGGACTGACCTGAGCTTACATTTAGATCTGCGATGGCATTTTAGCCTTTCCCAGTGTTTTGCCAAGTTGTATGCATATTTCTTGAAGCGTAACTACACGTGGCTTGAACGATTCAACCTAGAAATTATAGTTCTCTTAATAGGATCTCCCAGACCAGAGGTAAGCAACTTTGGCTCTTTGAGGACTCGTGGACTTCAACTCCCAGAATTCCTGAGCCAGCCATACTGAGGAGAAAGGGAGAGGTTTCCATGCTGAGCCATGCCGGCTCAGGAATTCTGGGAGTTGAAGTCCACGAGTCCTAAAAGAGCCAAGGTTGCCTACCCCTGTCCCAGACCTTTAGACAGCTGATGCATTTAGTGTCTGTATCCCGCCTTTTTTATTTTTTACAAATAGCTCAAGGTGGCGAACGTACATAATGCAGGCAGTCCTCCACTTACAACAGTTCATTTAGAGACCGAGGTTACAATGGCACTGAAAAAAAGTGACTTAGGACCGTTTTTCACACTTACGACCGTTGCAGCCTCCCCGTGGTCGTGTGAAACTTAGCAACAGAAATGTTGGGCTCCATTGTGGCCGTAAGTCAAGGACCCACCTGTATTCCTTCTTCCTTTTTCCCCCTACTACAACCTTGTGAGGTGGGTTGGGCTGAGAGAGAGAGGGGGAGAGAGGAGAGAGAGGGAGATGGAAGGCGGGGAGAGAGAGAAAAAGGGAGAGGGAGAGAGAAAAGGAGGAGGAGAGAGGGAGACGGGAAGAGAGAGAGGGAGGGAGGGAGAGAGAAGAGAGGGACAGGGAGACGGGGAGAGAGAATGGGAGAGAAGGAGATGGAGGGAGAGCAATGGAATGGAATGGAATGGAATGGAATGGAATGGAATAGAATAGAATAGAATAGAATAGAATAGAATAGAATAGAATAGAATAGAATAGAACAGAACAAAAACAGAATAGAACAAAAACAATAGAACAAGAATAGAATAGAACAGAACAGAACTGAGTAAAGTAGAACAGGGTAGAACAGGATAGAACAGAACAGAATAGAATATTGGCCAAGTGTGATCGGACACAAAAGGAATTTGTCAAGGAAGTAGTTGAACAACTGCTGCAACAAAAAGTTCCATTTACAATGGTGCTTTTGTGGGGAAATTATTTCAGAACATGGCCAGGCATTTTTAAGGTCAGCCAAGGATCTTAGAAGAATTGATCCCATAGAACAGTATTAACTTGATGGAGACCTTGGTGCTCTCTGAACTTGCTTGCTTGCAGACATTTAGTTACCTAACTACCAGTAGGTACAAGTTGACTTCAACTTACAACCATTCATTTAGCGACCGCTCAAAAGGACATCACTGAAAAATGAGACTTAAACTTAGGACTGTTGCGGTACTATATCCCCATGGTCACATCGTCATAATACAGGCACTTGACAACCGGCATACATTTGTGACTGTTGCAGCATCCCAGGGGTCACGTGATCGCCATTCACAACCTTCACCATTGGCTTCTGACAAGCCGAGTCAATGGGGGAAGGCTCAAGGTTGACTCAGCCTTCCATCCTTCCGAGGTCGGTAAAATGAGGATCCAGATTGTTGGGGGAAGATAATTAGAGGTCTGGAGGCTAAAACATATAAAGAACGGTTGCTGGAATTGGGTATGTCTAGTTTAATGAAGAGAAGGACGAGGGGGGACACGATAGCAGTCTTCCAGTATCTCAGGGGCTGCCCCAAAGAAGAGGGAGTCAAGCTATTTTCCAAAGCCCCTAAAGCAAGACAAGAAGCAACGGATGGAAACTCATCAAGCAACATGGAACTAAGGAGGAACTTCCTGATTGTGGGAACAATTAATCAGTGGAACAGCTTGCCACCAGAGGTTGTGGGTGCTCCATCACTGGAAGTTTTTAAGAAGAGACTGGATAGCCATTTGTCTGAAATGTTATAGGGCAGTGATGGCGAACCTTTTAGAGACCGAGTGCCCAAACTACAACCCAAAACCCACTTATCCATCGCCGGGTGCCGGATGGGCATGGCCGAGCTGTCGGCTCGTGCTCACTCGCTGTCCGCTCCGACTTGTGCTCGCGGTCTGCAGCAAATGCTGCTTTTGCTGAAAGTTGCTCCTTTTATAGCCTCTGGCCTATTCCCAGACTGCGCATGTGCGGAGAGCTGCGCATGCGCGGAGAGGAGGGAACAGCTCGGCCCAGCAATGGCTCGCGCGCCACCAGAGATGGCTCCGTGTGCCGCCTGTGGCACGCATGCCATAGGTTCGCCACCACGGGTATAGGGTTTCCTGCCTGAGCAGGGGGTTGGACTAGAAGATCTCCAAGGTCCCTTCCAACTTTATTATTATTATTGTTGTTGTTGTTGTTGCAGTATAATTGTCTGGTTGACAAAGGGAAGATCTGTAGAGGTTTGTTCCAGATTAGAGAACTCTGCACAATTGGCTGTAACAAAACCGGAGTATATTTTTTTCTTAAAAGTAAGGCGAACTTGACTACAGGCAATAATTACATGGACTGGATATATAATTTAATGTATCCAGGTATGCTATTATGAAGTCTAGCCAGATTTCAGCAGCAAGTGCTCTTTTTTTTTTCCAGATTAGAGGAGATGTATTTGCCAGCAGTTCAAATCTTTTGAGGGAAAAGCGCTCGCCCCGTTATTAAAAATCCCAGTTCGGGTTTCAGGAGTTCTTTTAATCAGCAAAAAAAGAGTTCAATTGAGATTTCTGTGGACATTTTTTTGCAGCACTTAAAAAAATGTGCTGCAATACACATTCAGCTTTTGGCCGTTTGTTTTTGGTCCGGCACATTTTATTTGAAGCTAGAATGTTTTGATTTCTCTTAATAGTCGTTTCAAAACTTCATGGGTAAAGATCACTGAAGTTTTTCTTAAAAGTGAGGAGAACTTAAGAAATTCAGAGAATGAATGGGTTTTGAAGCTGCCGAATTGCAACAAGGCTATCAGAATGTTACGGTGTCCAGTAACATAACTGTGAAACGACGACAAGGACATCCACCTCCATATTACCAAAATTTGAACAGGGAATCAGGTGTACCTTTACGAATTATGAAGCAATGGATGGAAAGTCATCAAGGAGAGAAGCAACCTAGAACTAAGGAGGAATTTCATGACAGTGAGAACCATTAACCAGTGGAACAGCTTGCCACCAGAAGTTGTGAATGCTCCAACACTGGAAGTTTTTAAGAAGAGATTGGACAACCATTTGTCTGAAATGGTCTAGGGCAGGGGTAGGCAACCTTGGCTCTTTTATGACTCGTGGACTTCAACTCCCAGAATTCCTGAGCCAGCATGGCTCAGAATGGAAACCTCTCCCTTTCCCCTCAGCGTGGCTGGCTGAGGAATTCTGGGAGTTGAAGTCCACGAGTCATAAAAGAGCCAAGGTTGCCTACCCCTGGTATAGGGTTTCCTGCCTGAGCAGGGGGTTGGACTAGAAGACCTCCAAGGTCCCTTCCAACCTGTTATTCTGAATGTGGGGAAGTAGAGAAAATAATGCACGTCTTGCTCTTTGTAAGTTTGTAGAAATAAGAAAAGTGTACTGCTCCACGTAGTCCTTGACTTACAACCATTCATTTAGTGATGGTTCAAAATTACAGGGCCACTGAGAAAAAAGCGACTTACAATCATCATAGCATCCCCTTGGTCACGTGATCAAAATTCAGGCAGCTGGAAACCAACCTGTATTTAAAATAGTCACAGCATCCCGGAGTCACGTGATCCCCTTTTCCCACCTTCTCACAAGCAAAGTCCATGAGGAAGCCACGATTTAACAACCGTGTTGCTAACTTGACAACTGCGGCGCTTCATTTAACAACTGTGGCAGGAGAGATGGTAAAAGGGGGCAAAACTCACTTAACCACTGTCTTGCTAAGCAATGGAAATTTTGGGCTCAATTGTGGTCATAAGTTGAGGACTACCTGTATTATTCTTGAAGCATCCTGGTAGTTAAATGAAACTCCTAAATCAAAAAATTAATTAAGAATATAGAATATTATCCGCAAGCGAGCAAGGTAGTTTTGACACAAAGCATGACTTTGTGTGTGCAACTTTGTGTGTGAATGCACCAACACTGGAAGTTTTTAAGAAGAAACTGGACAGCCATTTGTCCGAAATGATATAGGGTTTCCTGCCTGAGCAGGGGGTTGGACTAGATGACCTCCAAGGTCCCTTCCAACTTTATCATCATCATCATCATTACTATTATTATTATTATTATTATTACTATTATTATTATTATTATTATAACTATAACTTAGGAAAAAGATCCAGAGTTTTATTAATTTTCTGGGGAAAAAGTTATGCTTTGAGTGATTGCTTTGTACATGTGTTCGATTCAGTCTTTTTATCAATTGTGGAATTACGGATTATTGTTGTCTCTTTTATTGGTTCTGTATCGCCTCTGGCTGAGCAAAATAAAATCACCACCATTTTTTAATTTTATTTTATTTCTCCAGAATGTTTAGCTTGGTCAGAAAATAATTTTAATTATTTTAAAATACTAGAAGGGCAGGCTTGCTTACACCAATAATACAAACAATAAAAACCTGCCCTTGGGGCAGAGGCATTCAGATCAGGTCACTGGCTGATCATTTTGTAAACTTTTTCACAATTTAATAAAGATACAAGATGAACACCGGCACATAATTCAAAACAGCACTGTTTACACATTGATATCTAATGGTATCTTGGCAACCTATGTACCAAACGCAGGAACAATGTCCAACAGGTTAAAAATATATATACATGAAAAGATATATATGGCCTTGTTCATCACCTCCCACTGGGAAGCTTCTTTCTGGAATGTTCAGCAAGGAATCAGTGGATTTAATGTTCTTCTGGGCAATTCTGTAGAAAAAGAACAGAGACCGTTTTAAGCAAACAACACCCCCGTTTTCTCACAAAAAGAAAAGCATACGTAGCTCACTTTAATTTATAAGCACAATGGAGAAGAAATCAAATCAATCCAATCAACCTTGATTGTCAAAGTATAACATGTGTACAATGAGATTGTACACATTGTTGTACTTTGACAATCAAGGTTGATTGGATTGATTTGATTTTTTCTCCAATGTGCTTCTACAGGCAGTCCTCAACTTACCATCAGCAACTGAGCCCAAAACTGTACGTTGCGGAATGACACATTGCGAAGTGACATTTTTGCCCCGTTTCACAACCTTTCTTGCCACAGCTGTTAAGCGAATCGCTGCAGTTGTTAAACCAGTAACACAACTGTTAAGTGAACCTGGCACCCCCATCGACTTGGCTTGTCGCAAAAGGGGATCGCGTGACGCTGGGACGCTGCAACGGTCACAAAGACGAGTCCGTTGCCAAGCGTTTGAATTTTGATCACGCGACCCTGGGGATGCTGCCACAGTTGTGTGAAAAACGGCTGTCAGTCACTTTTTTTTAGCACCGTCGTAACTTTGAACGGTTACTAAATCAACTGCTGTAAGTCGAGGACTACTTGTAAAGTGGACATAGAGCCCCACAATACTCCAATTTAAAGTCTAACTATCTTTATGCCGGAAGTTAAGAGACAGAAGAAACTAGCATCCACTATGCTATATTTTTTCTATCCTGCTCTATGGAGTAGAGAGTTGGTCTCTGACAGAAGGCCACCTGAAGGGACTAGAAGCATTTGAAATGTGGATTTACAGGCGTATAGGCTGGGTTGACAAGATCAGAAATGAGGAGGTGATAAGCCGCCTGGGAAAGCCAAGGGAAATAATCAAAACAATTAAAAAACAAAAATTAGAATATTTCGGACATGTGATGCGACACCCAAAAAAATACGGCATACTCCATTTAATCCTCCAGGGAAAGATTGAAGGCAAACGAGGTCCAGGCAGAAGAAGAACATCGTGGCTTCAAAATCTAAGGGACTGGTTTGGACAAAACTCAGCAGCACTTTTTCGTGCAGCTGCTGATAAAAACAGGATCGCCAGCGTCCGAGAACGGATATGGAAGAAGAAGAAGAAGAAGAAGAAGAAGAAGAAGAAGAAGAAGAAGAAGAAGAAGAAGAAGAAGAAGAAGAAGAAGAAGAAGAAGAAGTAGTAGTAGTAGTAGTAGTAGTAGTAGTAGTAGTAGTAGTAGTAGTAGTAGTAGTAGTTTAAAATCAGGTTGTAAAAAACCTTAGTTTCGTTTCAGAAGTAAAAAAAAAATGCTGTACTTATACATAAGCTACAAACTTATAATGGCCGGGATTTTACTTTTAGCCCAACAGTGGAAAAATGAAAACTTACCAACTGAAGAAGTACTAATTAAGAAAATTCTACAGTGTGCAGAAATGGATAGATTGACTTTAAAGATTAAAAAGAAAGAAGACTCGGTGTACTTTAGAACGTGGGATAATTTCTATCATTGGCTAGGAAAACGAGTCAGAGAGAAAGGAACGTGATATGTAATTTTGAATATATTAACAAGAAGAAAGCTACTGAGTGATTAATTAACACATTGTTTATGATAATTAACTATATCTATTATTGTTAGTTAAATACATGTACCCAGACATTATGCTGTTTGCTAAATATTGAAAATGTTATTTGGATAAACCCCAACCCCAACCCTAATCCCGACCCTATCTTATTCCTAACCATATAAAAACTAATAAAATCTATAAATAAAAAAAACTCTCTCACTTCAGGAGTCTGGTACATTAAGTGCTGCATCGCACGCTGTTCTTCTTCAGACAGAGAAGAGATCTAGAAAAGAAAGAAAAGGAGTTGATTTCATATAATAATAATAATAATAATAATAATAATAATAATAATAATAATAATAATAATAATAATAATAATAATAATAATAATAAAGTTGGAAGAGACCTTGGAGGTCATCTAGTCCAACCCCCTGCTCAGGCAGGAAACCCTATACCATTTCGGACAAATGGCTATCCCAGGGGTAGGCAACCTTGTCTTTTATGACTCGTGGACTTCAACTCCCAGAATTGCTGGCTCAGGAATTCTGGGAGTTGAAGTCCATGAGTCATAAAAGAGACAAGGTTGCCTACCCCTGGGCTATCCAGTCTCTTCTTAAAAACTTCCAGTGTTGGAGCATTCACCGCTTCTGGAGGCAGGTTGTTCCACTGGTTAATTGTTCTAACTGTCAGGAAGTTTCTCCTTAGTTCCAGGTTGCTTCTCTCCTTGTTTAGTTTCCATCTGTTGTTTCTTGTCCTGCCTTCAGGCGCTTTGGAGAATAGCTTGACTCCCTCTTCTTTGGGGCAGCCCCTGAGATATTGGAAGACTGCTATCATGTCCCCCCTTGTACTTCCCTTCATTAAACAAGACATACCCAGTTCCAGCAGCCGTTCCTTATTTAATTTATTTCTATCCTGCCTTTACTGTTTTTACAAATAACTCAAGGAAGCAAACATGCAGTACACAATACTCCTCTTTCCTCCTCTTTTTTCCCCACGGTAACACCGGTGAAGTGGGTTGGGCTGAGAGAGAGTTGACTGGTCCAAAATCACCCAGCCGGCTTTCATGCTGAAGGCAGGATTAGAACTTGCAGTCCGCTGGTGGTGAGCATATGCAACTCCCTTTTGCAACCTTCCCATAAACAAAGTCAATAGACTCAAACGTTTACTGCTACACGTAGTCCTTGACTTACAACAGGGGTAGGCAACTTTGGCTCTTTTATGACTCGTGGACTTAAGCTCCGAGAATTCCTGAGCCGGCATGGCTCAGCATGGAAACCTCCCCATTTCTCCTCAGCTTGGCTGGCTCAGGAATTCTGGGAGTTGAAGTCCACGAATCATAAAAGAGCCAAGATTGCCTACCCCAGTATAGGGTTTCCTGCCTGAGCAGGGGGTTGGACTAGAAGACCTCCGAGGTCCCTTTCAACCTTTATTCTGAATCTGGGGAAGTAGAGAAAATAATGCACGTCTTGCTCTTTGTAAGTTTGTAGCAATAAGAAAAGTTTACTGCTCCACTTAGTCCTTGACTTACAACCATTCATTTAGTGATGGTTCAAAATTACAGGGCCACTGAGAAAAAAGCGACTTACAATCATCATAGCATCCCCTTGGTCACGTGATCAAAATTCAGGCAGCTGGAAACCAACCTGTATTTAAAATAGTCACAGCATCCCGGAGTCACGTGATCCCCTTTTCCCACCTTCTCACAAGCAAAGTCCATGGGGAAGATGGATTTAACAACCGTGTTGCTAACTTAACAAGTGCGGTGCTTCATTTAACAACTGTGGCAGGAAAGGTGGTAAAAGGGAGCAAAACTTTGGCCCCCTCAGATCGGGTCCGCAACTTGGGTGTTCTCCTGGATTCACGGTTGACATTGGATGACCAGTTGTCGGCCGTGACCAGGGGAGCGTTTTATCAGGTTCGCCTGATCCGCCAGTTGAGGCCGTTTCTGGACCGAGACGCCTTACGCACGGTCACTCATGCCCTTGTGACTTCCCGCCTGGACTACTGCAATGCTCTCTACATGGGGCTTCCCTTGAGGAGCACCCGGAGGCTCCAGCTAGTTCAGAATGCAGCCGCGCGGGCGGTGTTGGGAGGGACTCGTCGCTCCCACGTCACGCCGCTTTTGCGCGAGCTGCATTGGCTGCCGGTAGCCTNATTCCTGATCTCCCTTCCTTCCGCCGCGCCCTCAAGACGTGGTTGTTCCAGCTAGCGGGACTGGCCTAAGGGATTTTAAAGGGGTTTTAATTACTTTTAATTGGACATATTTAAATATTTCGTTTTAATTAAATTTTAATTAGGTATATGTTAGTATTTTATCTAATTGTCAGCCGCCCTGAGTCCGTAAGGAGAAGGGTGGGATATAAATGCGATTAATAAATAAATAAATAAATAAATAAATAAAACTCACTTAACAAATGTCTCACGTAACAACCGAAATGTTGGGCTCATTTATGGTTGTAAGTCCTAGTGGACAATCCCTTAAACATGAGCCAGTCGTGTGTGCTGCGGCTGCCAAAAAAGCCAACACAGTTCTAGGCTACATTGACAGAAGGATAGAATCAAGATCACGTGAAGAGTTAATACCACTTTACAAGGCCTTGGTAAAGCCACACCTGGAATACGGCATCCAGTTTTGCTCACCCTGATGTAAAAAGGATGCTGAGACTCTAGAAAGAGTGCAGAGAAGAGCAACAAAGATGATTAGAGGATTGGAGGCTAAAACATATAAGGAACGGCTGCTGGAATTGGGTATGTCTAGTTTAATGAAGAGAAGGACGAGGGGTGACAGGATAGCAGGGTTCCAATATCTCAGGGGCTGCCCCAAAGAAGAGGGAGTCAAGCTATTCTCTAAAGCGCCTGAAGGCAGGACAAGAAGCAACGGATGGAAACTAAGCAAGGAGAGAAGCAACCTAGAACTAAGGAGAAACTTCTTGACAGAACAATTAACCAGTGGAACTACCTGCCTCCAGAAGCGGTGAATGCTCCAACACTGGAAGTCTTCAAGAAGAGACTGGACAGCCATTTGTCTGAAATGATATAGGGTTTCCTGCCTGAGCAGGGGGTTGGACTAGATGACCTCCAAGGTCCCTTCCAACTTTACTATTATTATTGTTGATGTTATAAAACAAAATGGTTGATTTCGATGAAACTTTGCAACAAGCTGACAGAGGCTTTTAATTCCCAATGTAAGATGGCTTTTTATTATTTTCATATGAACGTTCTTCGATGCTCTGAGGGCCATTTAGTAGAGAAAGCAAGATATACATTTAAGAAGTAAATGGGCAAAACATTAACAGAAAAGATAATATATCTGCCGATGCTGGCCTTGGGTAAATTGCTTCCGACTTTCCTCACTTGATTCTAAATTGTAATTATAGTTCACAAAGTACAATTACTGTGTTCACACCATAAGGTAATTAAATCACGACAGTGAAATGGCTTGCTAAATCATAAATCGTTAATAAGCTGCAACAGCTAAGCCAAACAAGCCAGTTATGTCTTAAGGGTAATGTGTTTCATTGTCACATTTGATTTGGCTGAGCTTGTATGAACACAACAATTAACTATAATGTATGGTTTAGGATATTGCCTTTAGGTTAATTGGATAAGCAGATTACTCAAAAGAGCTGCTCAAAGGCAGTTTTTAAGAGTTGGTAGAATCCCGTGTAATACATAATAAAGAATTGCCCTCTGCCGTCAAGCTCTTATTTGAGATGTGAGGGTCTTTGGTGGTCTCTTGAGCTTGGTGGTTTTCTTGCAGACATTTCATGACCCAACTAGGTAACATCATCAGTGCTAGAAGGGAAGGGATATACAGTACAAGTGGCTTGCCCTATCAGTGTTTGTGGGGACTGCTCTTGGCGGTTCCTTGATTAGGCTTTTGTTTATTGTTAGCTTGGTCGTCTGAGCTGGTAGTTCCTTGATTGGGGTATTTTTTTTTTCTTCATTGTTGGTCTACTTCAGGGGTAGGCAACCTTGGCTCTTTTATGATTCGTGGACTTCAATTCCCAGAATTCCTGAGCCAGCCATGCTGAGTTGAAATGGAGAGATTTCCATGCTGAGCTATGCCGGCTCAGGAATTCTGGGAGTCATAAAAGAGCCAAGGTTGCCTACCCCTGGGCTAGTTGCTGTTGGTGTTAATTTCTGCTTATCTGAGTGCTGATTGCTGGTGAGGAGGTGTTTTGCTCTTTTGCTTTCCTTTTTAGCTTTTTGATCTAGATGTGGTTTATCTCTTTGCATCTGTTGAGCGCTGATTTGTCTAAGTGCCAGTTTTTCAGGAATTTTCTAGTATTTTTTTTATTTGGCTTGGTCTAAGATCTCAGTTTCCCAGTTGAATCTATGGTGAAGTCTGAACATGTGCAATTAAGGAGTTTTCATCATGTTTTCTGACTGCTGGTTGATGTTCATGGATGCACTCCAATCAAATCAGATATTGAGAGTTTGGAAAAAATATAGAGAAGAGCAACTAAGATGATCAAAGGCCTGGAGACTAAAACATACAAAGAATGGGACTTGGGTTTGGCTAATCTAAAGAAAAAAAGAAACAGGGGTGACATGATAGCAGTGTTCCAGTATGTGAGGGGCTGCCACAAAGAAGAGGGGGTCACGTTGTTCTCCAAAGCACCAGAGGGCAGAACAAGAAGCAACGGGTGGAAACTAATCAAGGAGAGAAGCAACCTGGAATTAAGGAGAAACTTCCTGACAGTGAGGACAATTAACCAGTGGAACAGCTTGCCTCCAGAAATCGTGAGTGCCCCATCACTGGAGGTTTTTAAGAAGAGACTGGACAGTCACTTGTCTGAGATGGTATAGGTCAGTGGTGGTGAACCTATGGCACGGGTGCCAGAGGCGACACTCAGAGCCCTCTCTGTGGGCACACGCGCCGTCGCCCCAGTCCTAGGCCTTCAACTGGGTTTTATAAAACCTTTTCGCTTTAGGCCAGTGGTGGCGAACCTATGACATGGGTGCCAGAGGCGGCACTCAGAGCCCCCTCTGTGGGCACGCGTGCTGTCGCCCCAGTCCTAGGCCTTCAGCTGGGTTTTATAAAATATTTTCATTTTAGGCCTCTGCCGCCGTGTGCAAAAAAAAAAAAGGTTCAACCCCAGTCAATTTCAACTTCTCCTGGAAAAAAAAAAGGTCTTGCAAAGTTGGAATTGATTGATTGAACTTTTTAGTCCCACCCAATCTGCTGTTATCACCGCAGCCGCACCCACCCAATGGGCCACGCCCACCCAATAGGCCACACCACCCGGCACTCGAAGATGCATAAATGGGTTTTGGGTTGCAGTTTAGGCACTCAGTCTCTAAAAGGTTTGCCATCACTGCTTTAGGCCTCTCCCGCCGTGTGCAAAAAAGAAAAAAAGGTTCAATCAGTCAATTTCAACTTCTCGCGGGGAAAAAAAAAGATCTTGCAAAGTTGGAATTGATTGATTGAACTTTTTAGTCCCACCTAGTCTGCCATTACCACTGCAGCCACGCCCACCCAATGGGCCACACCCCCGTTGGCCACACCCACCCAATGGCCACACCCACCCAGCACTCGACGATGCATAAGTGGGTTTTGGGTTGCAGTTTGGGCACTCAGTCTCTAAAAGGTTCGCCATCACTAGTATAGGTCCTTCTGCTTGAGCAGGGGGCTGGACTAGAAGACCTCCAAGGTCCCTTCCAGCATTGCTCTGCTCTGCTCTATTCTATATTGTTCTATTCCATATTTTCTATTCTATTCTATTCTATTCTATTCTATTCTATTCTATTCTATTCTATTTAATAAATAACAGCCTAATCTAAGCATCATCAAAAACACTCCCACAAACACTGAGAGGGAAAGCCACGAATAAAAACAGGGAGTATACCTCACATTCCCTTCAGGCACTGATGATATTACCTAGTTGGGTCATGAAACGTCTGCAAGAAAACAAGTTCTGATGGCACCAAGGACCCCACCGTCCTCCTCCTCCTCCTCCTCTCTGCACAGCCCCCTCCCTTCTACCACTGATGTTACCTAGTTGGGTCATGAAACGTCTGCAAAAAAACAAGTTCTGATGGCACCAAGGACCCTGAGCTACAAATATTGGCATGATTTGAGATGTGGTCCTATTTCTGGCTGGTTATAAACAATGCTGGCTTGAGGCAGGCCGATCGCTAGAAACGTTTCCTGGTGATTCAAACGGAGCTTCGTCCACTCTCGCAAATATTCCAAAGGAAGAGGAGAAGGTAAAATCTTGAGGGATGCACACATCACAGTAGCAATCAAGAGCAAAGTGTCACCTCTGTCCCGGTGTGCTGCTGCATTTCCTGGACCAGCTTCATGGTTTTAGCCAGGGTGGCACGGATGACACGCGTGGACTCTCGCCGCTCCACAGAAATCTTCTCCAGCTGTTCGCACAAGCTTTTGTAACGGGATTTCACCACTGACAGCTGCTGTATCAGGACCAGAGGATTTTCCTGTTTTCAAGGCCGGAAATCCGGAAAGACCAAAAAGCATCAAGCATTAAGAAGAGAAGGTCCACGAGAGCAGATTCAGAACAACGTAAGAATGAATGTTCAATTGTGGTCCTAAGTCAAGGACTACCTGTAGAATTCTAAACAAGCCACAATCCACCTGGAAGTCTTTCAAGAAATCTGAGATGAGAATTCAATTAGGCTATTCAATTAACAGAATTGGACTGGGTATGGCAGAGGGGGTGTGATCAGGGCAACAGAGAGGGGAGCTCTGACTTTACATCAGGGGTCTTCAAACCTTGGCCCTTTTATGACTTGTGGACTTCAACTCCCAGAATTCCTCAGCCAGGCACGGCTGGCTGAGGAATTCTGGGAGTTGAAGTCCACAAGCAAGAGTCTTCCAACTTGACCCTTTTATGACTTGTGGACTTCAACTGCTGGCTGAGGAATTCTGGGAGCTGAAGTCCAAAAGTCATAAAAGGGCCAAGTTCGAAGGCCCCTGCTTTACATACTACCTCCATTGATGCAGCCCAAAACTGCATTACCTGTTTCTCCCAAAGGTGCTTTTTCACAAGGCAACTGGACTTTGTTTCTTCTTTGAAAACATTTCTCTTCTCATCCAAGAAGCTTCTTCAGCTCTGACCGGATGGCGGGGAGTGGAAGGATTTATACTCCTTGCAGACAGCCGGTCATTTCCATCCTTGTAGAGGATCGTTGAGGCCACCTGGAGATTTACCTGTGTCCTCAGGGTCACCTGAGGGGTGCAAATGGGTGTGGAGCCTTCTTGGAATTGCCTAAAGGACTGTGTGGTAGACTGGAGATGGATGATGTCGTATCCTCCCCCTCTGTTGAGGGAGGGCTGTTCAATTTTGACCTAGATGGCCTCTTTGACCCCTCTTTCAAGCCAGCACTCCTCCCTGTCCAAAATGTGGACTTTGCTGTCTTCGAAAGAGCGGCCTTCGTCTTTTAAAGGCAGATGGGCTGCTGACTCTTGTCCTGATGGGTTTGTTCTCCTGTATCACAGACAAACCTCCTAGTGGCCTCAACGACTCTCTCTAAAAGGATGCAAATGACCAGCTGTCTGCAAGGAGTATAAATCCTTCCATTCCCCACCATCCAGTCAGAGCAGAAGAAACTTCAGGGCAAAACATACTTAACAACTGTCTCACTTTGCAACAGAGATGTTGGGCTCAATTGTGAGCGTAAGTCGAAGACTATCTGTAGTTACCATATCTCTTCGCCTTCAGCTCCCAACAGCTAACTGAGCAGACATTATGGCTGCTGCAGTCAACCACTCCATAGGACGGGGTCTTCAAACTTGGCCCTTTGATGACTTGTGGACTTCAACTCCCAGAATTCCTCAGCCAGGCACACTGGCTGAGGAATTCTGGGAGTTGAAGTCCACAAGCAGGGGTCTTCAATCTTGGCCCTTTGATGACTTGTGGACTTCAACTCCCAGAATTCCTCAGCCAGGCACACGTGCCTGGCTGAGGAATTCTGGGAGTTGAAGTCCACAAGTCATCAAAGGGCCAAGTTTGAAGACCCCTGCCATAGGATCATCAAGAACGCGAAGAAACAGTTGGAAAACAGAACAGGTGGCTTCTTCACAACTATTTAAGCCAATTCCCCAAGTTGACACCAACAAGGGCACACGGAAGAACTTCTTTTGGCCCGTTCTGTGCTGTGTTGTCAATCAATTTCACCGGACGCTGAAGATCGAATATGAGAATTAGGGATGGGGAATCGGGAATCTATTCTGAGTGTTAACTGCCGAGTGCAGAAAGCTTCTTTTGATCCAAGTATTTTTTGCAAACCTCAATTATGTTGATTGGATCAAGGGGAGAAAAAAAAAAAGCTTGGGCTTTCCATCTCCAGAACGTTAATAGGTAATCTCTACGTTAATCAGTACTTCTATTAAGTTAGTTAGCCTGGGGAAAAGTATTCGGTCTTTGGGGGGTTACAGTCTCGACAAAGGTGCTTTTTCAAAAGGCAACTGGGCTTGTTTTGTTTTAATAATAATAATACTAATAATAATACTAATACTAATAATAATAATAATAAGTTGGAAGGGATCTTGGAGGTCATCTAGTCCAACCCCCTGCTCAGGCAGGAAACCCTATACTATTTCAGACAAATGGCTGTCCAGTCTCTTCTTGAAAACTTCGTGTTGGAGCATTCACTGCTTCTGGAGGCAAGGAGTTCCACTGGTTAATTCTTCTCACTGTCAGGAAGTTTCTCCCTAGTTCTAGGTTGCTTTTCTCTTTGATGAGTTTCCATCCGTTGCTTCTTGTCCTGCCTTCAGGTGCTTTGGAGAATAGCTTGACTCCCTCTTCTTTGGGGCAGCCCCTGAGATACTGGAAGACTGCTATCATGTACCCCCCTCGTCCTTCTCTTCATTAAACTACTAGACAGACCCAATTCCAGCAGCCGTTCCTTGAAGATATTTCGCTTCTCCTCCAAAGAGGCTTCTTCAGTTCTGACTGAAGGTTCCTGGAGGAGCAAAAGATTTTCAAGGAAGAAAATCCAGTTGGTTTTTGAAAAAGCACCTTTGGGGCAACCATGACCCGGATGACTGAGAATCTCCACAGACAAATACATTGAGCAGTTTTCCAAGGGCAAAGATAGATAAAGTAAGACAAGCCTTAAATCTGTATGCACGTATGGGGTATAATCATAAGCTCCCAAAATTGCCTGTTTCAGAAAGAAGCAAAATTATAATGGCTATGGGGTCCTGGGTGCTCTGTCAGCTTGTTTCCCTACAGACGTTTCATGACCGAACTAGGTAACATCGTCAATGTTACAGAGGAGTGCTGTCTGTTTAAGTGACAAGAAGGAAACACTCCCAATAAAATTGACAAGGTTACCTAGTTTGGTCATGAAACATCTGCAAGAAAACAACCAATCTCAGTTGTCCGCTTCCTCCTCCTCTGTGTAAACCCCTCCTTCTTTTACCACTAATTGTATATATACTTTATTGGTTTTTAACGACAAATCTCCAGTGCCTGGTACACAGCGTGTTGTCTTGGTTTACATTTTAAAAAGGGGGAAAAAAAGACAATGATAATCAATTAACATCTGTAATGATTGAATTCGATAATCCCCCGATTCGTATATTAATTAATAATATATTTCTTTGATCTTCCCTTCTTCCATTTATATATTCCTTTGTCAATCTTAAACAAAATGTAATTCTTAATATTCTCAGTATATGATTAAATAGACATTTTTTTCTATTTGTACAAATAATAATCATCTCTATGTGTAACGTTTTTTTCCATCTTATATTATTCTTATAACCATCGTCTCATTAGTTCACCTATGCATCCTATTTTCGTGGTTTTTGTTTTAAGCTTAATTTTCCTTTTATATTCCATCCATTTCTTATCAGTCATGATTTCTTCTTTTACCACTAATGATGTTTTATCTAGTTGGGTAACATCCTAGCCCAGCAAGTACGAACGACCCCACAGTTCAATCCTCAGCTACAAATATTCTATAGGTTATAATGGCTAGCATCATTCAAGTCCCAGGTTTGTTCTGGCTTCATAGGGTCAATCTGAAAACTGGAGTTTGTAAATCATGGTTTATGGGCTGTGCAACTCCAGACAACGGTGCTAAAATATGGTCACACTTAGGAACCTTAAAGATATCGTTTTAAAATATTTCTTTAGAGGATGTTAGCCATGCTTTCAAGCTAAGGACGATACCTCTTGAGCAAGTCCATTAGGAAGCTGTTTCATCATTTCAAACTCCAACGTTGTCTGGATGTAATCCAGATCAGATTCGGCCTTCTGGAACTAAAACATGAAAAACCATCACAAGCCATTAACGTGATGTACAGAGCGAGAGGACCACCACATAACACCGGTACTTAGTACAAATTGGGGCAGGAAAGATGGCATAAGAGTCATCTTGTAGGGGAGATGGATGGCATAAACATTTAATGAATAAATGAAAGAACAGTAGAGTAGAGTAGAGTAGAGTAGAGTAGAGTAGAGTAGAGTAGAGTAGAGTAGAGTAGACTGGAGTAGAGTGAATGGAATACAAATCTTTATTGAGAATGGAATGGAACGGAAAAGAAGGACTGTATCTTTCCATATTGATGGCATCTCACCCTCTCTTAACAGAATAACAAAGTTGGAAGGGAATCTGGAGGTCTTCTAGTCCAACCCCCAGCTCAAGCAGGAAGCCCCACACCATTTTAAACAAATGCTTGTCCAATCTCTTCTTAAAAACTTCCAGTGTTGGAGCATGCGCAATTTCTGGAGGCAGGTTGTTCCACTGATTAATTATTCTAAAACTGTCAGAAAATTTGTCCTGGTTCTCTCCTTGCTTAGTTTCCACCCGTTGCTTCTTGTCCTGCCTTCAGGCGCTTTGGAGAATAGCTTGACTCCCTCTTCTTTGTGGCAGCCCCTGAGATACTGGAAGGCTGCTATCATGTCCCCCCTCATCCTTCTCTTCATTAAACTAGACATACCCAATTCCAGCAGCCTTTCCTTATATGCTTTAGCCTCCAGTCCCCTAATCATCTTTGTTGCTCTTCTCTGCACTCTTTCTAGAATCTCAACATCTTCTTTACATCGTGGTGACCAAAACTGGATGCAGTATTCCAAGTGTGGCCTTACCAAGGCCTTGTAAAGCGGTATTAACTCTTCACGTGATCTTGATTCTATCCCTCTGTTAATGTAGCCTAGCACTGTGTTGGCTTTTTTGGCAGCTGCAGCACACGGCTGGCTCCTATTTAAGTGGTTGTCCACTAGGACTCCGAGGTCCCTCTCACAATTACTACTATTGAGCAAGGTACCCCCTATACTATACCTGTACATTTGGTTTTTCTTGCCTAAATGTAGAACCTTACTTTTTTCACAGCTGAATTTCATTTTGTTAGATAGCGCCCAGTGTTCAAGTCTGTCCAGATCCTCCTGTATCCTAAGCCTGTCTTCTGGAGTGTTGGCTATTCCTGCCAGCTTGGTGTCATCTGCAAATTTGATGAGTTCCCCATCTATCCCCTCGTTCAGATCGTTGTTGAAGATGCTGAAGAGCACTGGGCCCAGAACAGAGCCCTGGGGCACCCCACTACACACTTCCCTCCATGTAGATGCGGTTCCATTGAGGACCACTCGCTGAGTATGGCCGGTCATCCAGCTACAGATCCATCTGGTGATGATGCTGTCTGACCCACATTTTTCTGTCTTATCAAGTAGTAGGTTGTGGTGTAAATCTTAAAGAGATACAGGTAGTCCTCAACTTACAATCATTTGTTTAGTGAGCAGCGGCCCTGACAAACAGTGACTTATAACTGGTCCTCACACTTATGACTATCACAGCATCCCCGCGGTCATGGGATCAAAGTTTGGGTGCTTGACAACCGGCATGTATTAATGACCATGTTGATGCTGCAAAGGTTGTAAGTGTGAGCAGTTGTCATAACTCACTTTTTTCAGTGCCACTGTAACTTTGAACTGTCACTAAATGGATGGTTGTAGGTCAGTGGTGGCGAACCTATGGCACGTGTGCCAGAGGCGGCACTCAGAGCCCTCTTTGTGGGCACACGTGCCGTCGTCCCAGTCCTAGGCCTTCAGCTGGGTTTTATAAAACCTTTTTGCTTTAGGCCTCCGCTGCCGTGTTCAAAAAAAAAAAAAAAGGTCCAATCAATCAATCAATTTCAACTTGGAATTGATTGATTGAACTTTTTAGTCCCACCCAGTCTGCCATTACCACCCCAGTCACGCTCACCCAATGGGCCACGCCCACCCGGCACCCGACGATACATAAGTAGGTTTTGGGTTGCAGTTTGGGCACTCGGTCTCTAAAAGGTTCGCCATCACTGTTGTAGATCCAAGATTTCCTGCACCTGGGTCAGGGGTAGGCAACCTTGGCTCTTTTATGACTCATAGACTTCAACTCCCAGAATTCCTGAGCCAGCCATGCTGAGGGGAAAGGGAGAGGTTTCCATGCTGAGCCATGCCGGCTCAGGAATTCTGGGAGTTGAAGTCCATGAGTCATAAAAGAGCCAAGGTTGCCTACCCCTGCCCTAGTCCTTTTCATTAAATTAGATATACCCAGTTCCTGCAACCGTTCTTCACGCTTTAGCTTTTACTCTCCTAATCATCTTAGTTGCTCTTCTCTGCATTCTTTCTGTTGAGTATCTCCTGCAACTTACCCCAATGCGAGGAGCTGCTATTTCAGGCCCTAATTCCTTGTTTCAAATCACCAATCCATTCTTCATAAAGGATAAAACAGTACAGGTAGCCCTTGACTTACAGTCATCCGTTTAGTGACTAAAAAAAGTGAGTGAGGACCGTTTTTCACACTTACATCCCTATGGTTACATGATCAAAATTCAAACGCTCGGCAACCGATTCAGATTTATGACGGTTGCAGTGTCCCAGGGTGATGTGACCAGCTTTTGTGACCTTCTGACAAGCAAAATCACTCCACAACTGGGTCCCTAACTGAACTGCAGTGATTCACGGAACGACGGTGGCAAGAAAGCTCATAAAATGGGGCCAAACTCACTTCACTGCCCCGCTCAGCAACAGAAATGTTGGCCTCAACTGCCGTTAAGTCGAAGACTACCGGTATATAAAGCCACTATGATTTCACCAGAGTTTGCAGGCTTGTTTCCATAGAACAGACAGATTTCATATACCAGGGGTAGGCAACCTTGGCTCTTTTATGACTGGTGGACTTCAACTCCCAGAATTCCTGAGCCAGCCATGCTGAGGAGAAATTGAGAGGTTTCCATGCTGAGCCATGCTGGCTCGGGAATTCTGGGAGTTGAAGTCCACGAGTCATGAAGGGGCCATAGTTCCCCGGTGCTGGCTCAGGAATTCTGGGAGTTGAAGTCCACGAGTCATGAAGGGGCCATAGTTCCCCATGCTGGCTCAGGAATTCTGGGAGTTGAAGTCCACGAGTCATGAAGGGGCCATAGTTCCCCGGTGCTGGCTCAGGAATTCTGGGAGTTGAAGTCCACGAGTCATGAAGGGGCCATAGTTCCCCATGCTGGCTCAGGAATTCTGGGAGATGAAGTCCATGAGTCATAAAAGAGCCAAGGTTGCCTACCCCTGTCATATACCAACAGATTAGGGTTAGGATTAGGAATAGGGTTAGGGTTAGGTTTAGACTAAATATATCAATAGAAAGTGGAGACTGAGCATGTTAAAGAGAGACAAATTCTGTCCTTCATTCATTATGAACGGAGAGCCAGTTTGGTGTGTGGTGGTTAAGGTATCAGGCTAGAAACCAGGAGACGAGTTCTAGCACCGCCTTAGGCATGAAAAAGCCAGCTGGGTGACTTTGAGCCAATCACTAGGAGATGGTGAGTTCTAGTCCCGCCTTAGGCATGAAAGCTAGCTGGGTGACTTTGAGCCAATCACTAGGAGATGGTGAGTTCTAGTCCCGCCTTAGGCATGCAAGCCGGCTGGGTGAGCCAATCACCAGGAAATTGTGAGTTCTAGCACCGCCCCTAAGGTATGAAAAAGCCAGCTGGGTGACTTTGAGCCAATCACCAGGAGAAGGTGAGTTCTAGTACCGCCTTAGGCATGAAAGCAGCTGGGTGACTTTGAGCCAATCACCAGGAGACGGTGAGTTCTAGTCCCGCCTTAGGCATGCAAGCCGGCTGGGTGAGCCAATCACCAGGAAATGGTGAGTTCTAGCACCGCCCCTAAGGTATGAAAAAGCCAGCTGGGTGACTTTGAGCCAATCACCAGGAGAAGGTGAGTTCTAGTACCGCCTTAGGCATGAAAGCCAGCTGGGTGACTTTGAGCCAATCACCAGGAGACGGTGAGTTCTAGTCCCGCCTTAGGCATGCAAGGCAGCTGGGTGAGCCAATCACCAGGAAATGGTGAGTTCTAGCACCGCCCCTAAGTTATGAAAAAGCCAGCTGGTGACTTTGAGCCAATCACCAGGAGACGGTGAGTTCTAGCACCGCCTTAGGCATGAAAGCCGGCTGGGTGACTTTGGGCCAGTCCTTTTTCCGCCCAACCCACCTCACAGGGTTGTTGTGCGGAAAACAGAAGGAGGAAGGAGCATTATGTATGTTCATTGCCGAGTTATTTATAAAACAATAGAAGCAAGACAGAAATCTAATACTGTAAATAGTAAATAAATTGTTGAATAAACTGCAGAGTCATTACAGGAATCATCAACTGGACCCAACCAACTGTGAAGCCGCAGAAGCAGCCTCAGTGAGGAGAACCTTTGGACCTCCAGAGCCGGCGTTTTCAGAGACCATTTAGCAACTTCCTTCTGCCAGCTGCCTTTCAGCAAATAGCAAGAGCCCTTTGACTTATAGACCGCTTCACAGTGCTTTACAGCCCTCTAAGGGGTTTACAGAGTCAGCATCTCGCCCCCCCCAACAATCTAGGTCGTCATTTTACCTGCTCGGAAGGACGGAAAGCTGAGTCGACCTTGAGCCGGTCAGGATTGAACTCCTGGCTGTGGCCAAAGACAGCCTGCAATGCTGCCTTTTAACCACTATGCCATCAGGGAAAGGAAAGGGAAGAAGGAAAGGGAAGGGAAGTAAAAGGAGGAAAGGGAAAGGGAAGGAAAGGAGGAAAGGGAAGGGAAAGGGAAAGGAGAGGAAAGGAGGGAAGGGAAGTGAAAGGAGGAAAGAGAAATGGAAGGAAAGGGAAGGGAAGGAAAGGAAGGGAAAGGAAAGGAAAAGGGGAGGAAAGGAAAGGGAAGTGAAAGGAGGAAAGAAAAACGGAAGGAAAGGGAAGGGAAGGAAAGGAAGGGAAAGGGGAGGAGAGGAGAGGAAAGGAAAGGAGGAAAGGGAAGGGAAAGGGGAAGAAAG